CAAACTTCGTTATTCTAGTCTGTACTGATAACCAGTCTTGTTCTTTATATTTGCTACTATCCAAGTTGGGTGAAATCTCTAATACCAAGGGAATATAAGGAAGTCAAGTGGTTTTCGTTAATCAGACTAGCCTCAAGAAATCAAGCTCATGCGACTTGAGTCAGCAGAAGTTTCCTGTGGAACACTTGTGTGAAGTAAGCTTTACTATAATCAGAAATTACCCAACTATACGAATCATATATGTTACCGCAGACCTCCGCAAATTCCTCCTTTCTCATTTGTGCCACTTTATTTCATCTTACCAACTTCGCATAAAGGTGAAGAAAATGGGACAAATGAGAATTCCCATTACCTTCGCCTCAACCTGTTCCTTCTTTGTCTGTGAACGAATGGTTGATCAATCTTCATCCTCTACCAAATACCCTAATAAAATTATCGATTAATTTCAAAAAAGGTCCATCAAGTTCATCCATCTCGTATGATAGGACTTCCTTCATTCGCATTTATCTCTGCACTCCACAAGACCCATTCCCTTCCAAACATAGCGACGTACGTTTTTTTGCATTGTCATCTAAAAATTTTGCCTCAAATTGAACAGGGTTGTTTTGACGTTTATTGTAGCATACGAGCAACTCCTTACTAGTCCAAATCTTCGAATTTTTCTTCGAAGTGCTATCTTTTACTTTTGCTTTTGAGGAGTAAGGTACTCTATTTTAAGGAGCCCGGTCTTACGAGATTTTTGAGTCTCTTTATCATTACAGTGCTTCGAAGATCAAACGACAGCTCCCACGATTATACAGAAAGAAAAATAAATTTAAATGAACAGTAAATAAGAAAGATGAAGAAGTTTTTACCGGCCGATATACTTCATTTTCCTTGCAGGTTACATTTGCAATGCCGGGTTCAGCTGTCGCCATAATTACTCGTTGCACCAAACCGATTTCTTATGTTCACTATCATTTCTTGCAAACTTTTGCTAGAGAATTATTCAGCTGAGACACTCAGAATATGACATCATTTTACTTTTTCGGTTTCCGCTTCTGTTGCGGGTGTAACGCGCTTGAAGGAAAATTTCAGAAAAACTAAGCTTTTCATTAGCACTCCACTGCTATACATCCCATCTAATCCAATGTCTTCACTGCGAAGTTACCAAGTTACTTCAATCTGAAGACACTACCGCAAAAGATTCTATTGATATTGTTTTGAAAAAGATGAAAACAGTGTAAAAGCAAATCTGGTGTAGCATCATGCAAATTCAACTGTGTGCGAAAATTCATGGCTTTCTGTGCAAAGTTCTGTGGACTATTTCTTATTAATATGCGACTTCAACTGAAAAGAATACTAAGAACGTCAGAGATTTTATGCATGAAACGATAATCTTGGTAATGATTATTCTCTCATTTTGTCACGTTCAGCTGGAGGTTATGCAAGTTGTGGAGATTTTGTGCCGTTACACAAGATTTTAGCCAAGCATAAATGCTAGCCAAATTTAATTTGCCATGATCGGAGAAACAACTAGGGCTGGAGATATGCCAAGGACGTTGGGCGAATGAATTTAACATCTGTTGTTATCCAACAATTCTGAAGATATTCTCATTGATTTTTTGGCAGAGTTAAAGCCGCGTTTTGAATAGTTTCTTCTAAATCATTCCTCAAACTTCTAAATCATTCCTCAAACGTATTTCAGATTTTTTCGCATGACTTTTGTAGCATAACATTGACAAAACTGTGCAGTAGATCAAAATATCAAGCCAAAGCTGAAAACTTCTTACTTCAACGTGAAATCTTGGTCTACATTTTTCTCATATAGCATACTTATAGTTGTGTGAAATAAGTCAAAATGGTTAAAATGTAATGTATGCTCTACCCTGGGGACGACAAACGCTATGATAGCTTTCCTGGTGTTACTATGCATAAGGAAGAATGTCTTTTTTTTTGAAAACGTAGAGTTTCTAGTTTGCGATGGAGCACTCCTGAGTGATAACATCTTCAAAAATGCTTGCAATGTTGAACTCGGGGAGTAAAAATGACATTGAAACACGTTTTAAAATTTTTCTCACCATAGCCGGTGTTGGTCATGCAAGAATGTGATAACTGTAAAGTTTGCTAAGCTGTAGGTAGGAACGGAAATCTCTTTACAAAAGTGTGCATCGAAGAAGTAGCCGCGCTCATTTCTAAGTTCAAAATTATGTCATTTAGAGTACTTTAGCTCCATATTCAGCTGTTTAGTGTTTCCCACTGAGTTACCGAGCCAAGTACAAACTTACTGAATGATTTTTGTAACCCGATAGCTGCCCTTAACTACAGAGTGCCAGTGTCTGTGCTGTACTACGTCTTCATTAGGTTCGCGATGACGTAAAAACCGCACCGTGGTACTCACACTCTCAGCCTATTGATCTCCTCATCTTAGACATGCACCCTGGCTCATTACTCTTCTTGAAGGGCTCATATGGCAGAAACAAAAACTTGTCGGCGTTGTTTTCTCCCTCGTCTGGAATCATTCATTTCACTCTTACACGGGTCATATATTCCTCTTCCGAAAGTATCTCTGGCACGAGCGTCAGCGATTCTTCTAATCGCGCTAAGTAGTGGCTTTCTGAAAAGACTTTGAGAGAAGCTTAGACCATCACCTGTATCTATTTTGCTGCCAATGAGTCTTCGTATCTCCAAAAGCAACAATATTTCATGGCTAAAACGAACGTAAGTAAGCTATCCATCAACTCAAGACCTCTTCTTAGATTCGCTGCAAAAGAATGCCTACTGTTCTTCTAAAAACATTGATAATTGCTAACTATGACTCTATTTTACTTCTTGCTGAACGAAGATTCCACGAGTTATGTAGGATAAATATAGATAAATAGAGGACGCACTATTTGGCTTCTAAAACAGTCTTTGGCAAATATTTCAACTTCATCTTGTAGAGCTTATTGTGCTTTATGAAGAATTTTTTCCTACATTTCTCTATTTATTCTGCTTTGGTGAAATGAGGAACAAAGATTTTGCACCACTACTGTAGATTATTTGCGTACTTTCTGAGTTGCCGAAGAAAAGAAACAGGCATTGCATATACTTAGGTAAATATTCTCTACACAACTCATTCGCACAGATGAATTTTTCTGGAATATACTTTGCCACTACTGCCACAACTTATTGAAGTTATGAAACAAATAACGGGTTTTCTGTTTCTCAAATACCCTGAAGCTGGCCTTTGCCTCTGCTTTCATTGAATTGAAGTTTCACTCTGGTTTAGGTTTTATCACCATTACTGCGAAGTTCCATTTTTGTTGGCCTCCAGACAACTTTGCGTTGTTTCATGTATTCTTGAGTAAGGATCTTCACCAGAAAGGTGCAAAAATACGGGGTCTTTTGGCTTGAGAAGGACGACGAAAGTCTTGCATGAAGAGTTTGAGCCGAGGATCAAATCAGCACTCCAATCTACAAATCTTCATTCCATATAGTTGCTTGTGGCTTCCCTAAACTTTACGTGTACTATCGAGTCACCAACCTCAAATGTCTAACTTCAGCTTTTTCCAATAAAGAATTTTATGAAATTTGATACCCTATCGCAACCGCTTGTAGCCTTAGAAACTGAGGAGGATAGTACATATAGCTATGTCACTATTTTCAGCTTTCATTTGCAGCTCTCCTCCATCTGAAGCACTTTTGTCGCCGTTATTACCTCACCGCAGCTTTAAGGGAGAGAATGACGTTTTAATGAGAAAGAGCGTTGAAATTGCCAGCCTTGTCTTACCCTGTGTCTTTCCAGCCATTGTTTACAGCCAAAAAAGCGGAAACATGGAAAGCATTTTCTGCACAACTTTGCGCGAATTCGCTGTGCAAAATAATTTTGCATAGCCACTGAATTGAGGACGAACTTGAAGTTACAGATTTCAGAGAGAAAAGTAGTGAATGATGAGTAGATTATCTTGAATTTTCTTTAACGGCGATTGTTTTACCTTTTTGTAGTAAGAGAAATTTATCGTTTTCTCGACTTTTTAAGTTATCTTCTGCCATTCGAATGTTATGCTTGTAACATCAACGCTAAAATATTGTTTTTAATTGATCTTCATCTTGAACCCAGCACACTTCGGTTCCAGTCGCGACGCAATTTATCCAAACTTCAGCTGTTTGTAACTCACTGTAAACGCAATTTGATTGCACAAAAAAATGGAACACTCTATTGATCTACCCTTTGATACAATGGAATTGACAGCTGGAAGGCGACCGCTCGCGCCCGCGACGCAGTCTACGTCTCTCTCCCTGATCATTCTCTAACCTTAATTAGGTCACGAGGCCTCGCCTTCCAGCCGCCCCAGTTGAACCGAAGGGTAGAAAGTTATACAAACTATGCATCTATAGTCTGCAAAGTTGAATTCAAAGATATTTGGCGAATTGCCAGATCACCTAGCAGTGGATATAGGGTGCGGTATCATAGTTTATTCTTTTCAGTTTCGCAAGCAGAAGTCTCAGTGTTCATTTTTTCTTGTTCCTTGTGCATCTACTATTTTTTGCATTAATCTGGACATCTTAGTTGGGGGAGGTCCACCTCATCCTTTCCCCAGGTTATTAACTAAATTCATACTGCTAGTGCAGCCGTACCGTAATCAGCCATAGTAAGAGAAGGAAAACTATTCTTACTTTGCCATGTGATACACTTTTGATGCATGATAGCGATTCGTTTCAAATTATAATTCATTTTCTCTCATTTGCGTGGACTTTTAGACTGAAGCAGTATGCCAACTCTCATCCTTTTTTGTACGGAAGCAGGATACAAAGTTCGTGCAAAGTCTGAATCCTGTCATCTGAAAAGAAAAGCATGTGACAGAAAGGCTGAATCAAAGAGCGCATACATCACTCCGGATTGCTCTGCAGTCTCCAGTCGTCGCTTTGTTTTCAACCAAAAATAGATTTTCAAGAGTCAAAGGACTTTCTCGTGTTTCTGCTTCACGGTGTCCTTTTTGTCGTGTCAGAGATTAATGTGCCTGAGTGACCATTTTCAGCATGTCGCTCACAAAGAAAAAGGAGGATGAAAAGGAAAAGAAGTTCTTGGGACGACTCTCGTACAAATTGGATTACGACTTTGACAAGAATGCGGTTAGTTGATTGGATTAGTGGATTTTTGGTTTTCATTAATAATTGGTGTTTATTAGCGAAGTTGATGAGTGTTTGCGATAGGTACTAACTTTAAAAAATGCTCTTTACAATAAGAAGCAGCCGGAAATATGACTGCGTTTTTCTTGCCAACACATCCTCAGAAAGTATGAAGTGACTTATGGATGGTACCGTCTACATAGGTCTTCAAAAACTAGATCATTTCTTGGTTATCCTGTCAAATCAACAAGCACGCTTCTCACTATTGACCCATGAGAGTTAATTTAACTAGAGCGAATCGAGTGATTCTCTCCACTAAACCATAAATATAACTAAAAGATGTCATCGAAGATCCAGACAGATGAGAGCTGTTTAGAGAATTTATGGCCCGCAAGCGCCTCAGATTTCATTTTTGAGGTTTTTTGGCTTTCTCTGCTAGTTCGTCTCAACATATTCACGACCCTATTCCTTCAAATAGGAACTATATAATCAAATATTAGCCTGAGGAGACAAGGTGGGCATAAGATGGCTATTTGAGATCATTTGAATTCCCAGAGTAGCTGTAAGGCTACAATCGTTACGGTAATTTTGTGGCAGAAGCACAATATATTAATTTTTAGGAAATCATTTTGGCATTGTTAGAAGATAATTTCTAAACAAGCTCGCTGAGCTTCAAGAAGATTTCACATGGAAAATGAACATTTTGCCAATTTTGATTTTTTGTTTTCGTTACTAGGTCAGAATCTTGTCACACACACTATGCGCCACAATTGAAAGATCCTAATCATCTTTAACGCTGCCATAGATAGAGGCCCTGCTACGACTTTGTTTTTCGAAATTTGCCAAACACTAGCGTTCTGCAATCACATATGTGCACAACATCCGTCAAAACACAGCAAAACACCCATCAGAACTCGCTGCTCTGAATCGAAGCATCCAGGAAGATTCCGAGATCGTCTATCGGCTTCTTGTTGTGAATCGTTGCATAGGAGTCGAAGAAAGTGAAAGAGCAGCTGATTGCGAGCTTGTTCGACGCCTTGATTGAGAGAGCGCCTTTGAAGAGCGAAACTTGCGAATCTATCATATTCACTTTGAATTGCAACTAATACGGGAGGCTGAAAAGTTGACTTGCTGACAGGCAGGGGGTTCTGCATATATTTGAAGCAAGAAATTTAGCGATGGGAATGTCCATTGTCTATAGAATTTTCTTTCTTGACTCGAATCACTGGAGGGTGATGTTTCTAATGGCGGATTGGTGGGAGGCGGACAAGAGGCGCGATTTCTCTATAGGTCACTAAATCCACAGCATCTATAATCAAGCTAAGTAATTCAAGAATAGCAGACAAAGTACTCTAGAACACTAGCCATCTGAAGTTACTACTCGCTAGATTAGACGCGTTTTAATAAAAAGTTGACCGAGCCATTCATTGAAATTGCCATTAGTCGCATTTTTTCAATCTCCAACGTTTATATTTTCAAAACATTTCTATTAAGAAGGTTGGGCAGCTCACCGATCTTGTACTACTATTCAGGAATTTGTAAAGATCTTTGCTACACACTAGAAATATTGGTGGTGTTCATCTGACAATAAAAACCGCGCTTCTTGACGTACACCCAGAGTTGCTTGTTGATCGGGATCAGTCCATTTCATGACAAAGGTCGAAATCAGACTCATGCAGCTTTTTGACATTTGTCATGTTTTTCTAAATTCAGGATGTGCTCAAGCTTCTGAAACTTCTCAATGTTTGCTTTTTTTATAGCGGGAAATATGTAATTGTGATTTGGAGCGGCCGACCTCCAGCTCAGTTCATTCTCACTTTAAAAAGGGGAATGAAACTCATTTCTTTACACCCCCCTAAAAGCTTTAGCGCAGTTTGTGCTTACCGTATCCAGAAAGCTGAAGTATCATAAAATAACAAAAGCAAGTTCCGATAAACCATTGACTTGAGTTTGACTGAAGGGAGAAAATCAAGTAGAACACAAGCTATTATGCTTGTCTAACTAACTGCTATCGTTATTTGAGAAATAGATATTCCGATAAATTTGTATATTGCGACTTTTTCACAAACAATTTTGAGAGGATTTTGATGCTTCTCATATTGTTTCGCTCTTCTTCCCGTAAATTAGCGAATTTATGATTGAATCTTATCGCTGTGTTTTGTCCTTAAAATGTTTTTACCTTCGCATTTTTGTTGCAATTAAAAAATCGTGCAGTCATAAAATTGCCATTTTGATGGCAACTATTTTTCTAATCTGCTCATGGCCGCTTTGCAAAGTGAAAAGGGTAAATTTGGAACATGATAAATTTTTATGAGCATACACTTGACTTGTCACTGGAGTGTCACATGTCAAACAATGTGTCTTTGCACCACAAATTGTCAAAAATTCGTCACACCATAAAAAGATGTTGCTTCAGTCCAAACCAGTGATTCTGCTCATACCTTCCATTTTCAGTTAACAGTCGTCATATTGCAAGCTGAAGAGTTGCCAGCTATGGACCTTGGTGGTACCTCTGATCCCTATGTGAAAGTATTTCTTCTTCCGGATAAAAAGAAGAAGTTTCAAACAAAAGTTCAACGAAAGTCCCTAAACCCCGTATTCAATGAGAGTTTCACATTCAAGGCAAGGAACATTTTCAGCGAAAAAGCACTCACTCGCGTAATTTGTGTGCTTACAGATACCTTATAATGAGATAGGAGGCCAAACGCTGGTTTTAAACGTTTTTGACTTTGATCGATTCGGAAAACATGACCAGGTTAGTTTTACCACCGAAAAGTAGAGTATTTTAGCAAAAAAACCTCTCATGTGTGCAAAACTTGTCAGAATATTAATTTATTTTGGTTAGCTTAACTGAACACTTTCAACCAAATGAGACAGTAACGCTATTTTGAAGAAATTACACCTTTAACTCTCCGAACAAAAAGGTTTAAAATACTAAAAAGCTCATTCAAAAAAGTTGGTTAATCTTTTATACGCAAAAATGAACTTCGCACTGTTTAGCGTTGCTTTTGTTTCGAAAAAAGTATTCTCAAAAAAGAAAGGCAGCTTTTATAGAGAGAGTAACCGTTTTAGATTGGTCAAATCTCGATTCCGCTCGGAAAGATTGACCTTGCAGCTACGATAGAGAAGACTGTAAACATTGAAAGCCCACCGGTAAGCGCTCTCGATTTCATTACATAAAAAAATTCAAAGTCTTTGATTTCAGGAGAATCGATTGGGTGAAGTGTGTTTGGCACTGCGCTACGTCCCCAACAAAAATAAACTCTCGGTTGTTGTAATGGAATGCAAAAATTTGAAGAAAATGGACGTTTTAGGATTATCAGGTAAGCAACATCCATCAGAAACTTCACTCCCTATTGAGTCCACTGACAAATTATTCTTCTAGATCCGTACGTCAAAATCTACCTAATGTTGCAAAATAAGCGCTTAGAGAAGAAGAAAACGACAATCAAAATGAAGACCTTGAATCCATATTACAATGAATCCTTCAGCTTCGACGTAACGCCAGAGAAAATGCAGGTAATGCCGCTCACCAAAATACATTTATAAACAGAATTTCGACAAATTATGTTCAAGCCAGATGTCCATTTCAGAGGGTACACTTGCATGTTACGGTATCTGATTACGATCGAGTCGGCTCAAATGAACGAATAGGACAGGTAATTAATCTTTGTTTTATCGTTTGGTGCAATTTCCTTTTTTTGATAGAAGATAGAAGATAAAACTCAGTCAGACAATGGTGCTTGTAGCTCTTCTAGGAGTATAGTCGCAAGAACGGTTTGGGAATGTAACAGAAAACTCATTATTCTCGACCGAAAGTTAGTAAAAGTGCTCTTGATTCTTTATTTCGAAGTTGATTTCACGATAATACTTCTTGAAATATTTTTCTCGACTTGCAAGCAGTTGTCTTGCTGAGCTTCTGCACTGGGAATTAGAAAAGCAAACATCAATAGTCGTTGTCGGTCCTTCCGCCACATGGAAAATAAGCTTCTTTGATACCACTACCGGAAAAGACTTCTTCCGAGTTACATTCCAAAAAAGGTTCAGTCATCACAGTGGGTAAGGGACGATTACTTCAATTAGGCACCGCCTCCGCGGACTGCTGGTCCTTTCGCTCAAATTTTGTAAATCTTAGGACCAATAGGCTGCGGATGCGGTGCTCAATTGAGGTATTCGTTCCCCTACTTCACCTCAGTTCCCGATTTTTCTGTCCCAACTATTAGGCTTTGAGAATTTATTGCTTTTAGTGGGACATTATACCCAAAGGGAAGATGACAGTGATACATTTTACAACTGTTTTGGCACTCATCTTCGCATAGAATGAGCTAAGCTTACAGTTGACAACGAAAGCGAGCAATTACAGCGATTTAACAGAAAAATTCAAATGTCCCAAATGTTGATGCCTTACACGAGCACCGGGAAATCAACTATTTCTGTCTTCTTGTAGATTTTGTGAAGACACGCATGAAATTTGCAAGATCCTTGGTCACTCCTTTTCCCTGTCGCACGCAAGTCGCCTCTGACTGATTCTGGCCACTGAATTTTATGACGCTTGCACTTTCTAAGCCCTTTCTGTGTGAAATGGCGAAAAATCCTCACCATTACCACTCAGTTATCGTTCCAGGTGATCATTGGCTCGATGGCTTCTGGTGCAGCGCTGAAGCAGTGGACGGACATGCTGGCGACGCCGCGACGGTCAGTGGCGCAGTGGCACACGCTGATGCCGTTCAACGACGACTGAGCCGCGGGTGAGCGGCCGTCGCTATGCCTTCGCCTTGCCAAGCAACGTCTTCATCTGCCGCGTTCACTGTTTGTTGTCTTTTGCCTGCGATTTGGCCGTGTGCCAGGCATAATGATGTTCCCTGTCTTCCCTGATCCACTATCTCACGCGGATTGCGCTCTGTCGGCGGGCAGCCTGAACATATACTCTTACTTCTGGGTCCATTTCCGTGAGTGTCCTCCCTCGCGGAACTACACTGTGCTCTTTTGTGATCGACCTGTATCTGTTGTACATCTGCTACCACATACTCTTTCCTTTGCATTGTGTTCTTCTCTCTTATTTTTGCTGCATTTGTGATTATTCTCGTTTACTGGGAGAAAAAGAGAATTTGTGAGAATCGGAGAAAATGGATGCACAAACTTTTCAAGTTTGGGTATCCATTTTTGAGAACCATATGCCCAAAGTTTGAAACAGATTTTATACGGTATGATTTCGTGCTTGAAGCTGTTTGATTATACTCTGTAAAATATATATCATATTCGTTTTCTTCGCTTGCAAGATGATCACACAGATGAACGTGAACCAACGACATAGTTGAAAATAGCAGCAGAATGGGAAAATTGATTGATGTTGTTTAGCGTCATACTCAGGATATATTTTATACCATCTATGGGATGCAAAATGTCCAAAGTTGGAGAAAGCACAGAGAGATTTGTGATGAATTTTTAGTGTCGTAGAACTGCTCTGCCCATCTTTTCAGCACTAATATATTCGAGAAACAAATTACATCGTGCTGCCTCAGATGGTGTTCAAAGAAGTAAGTAATCTTTAAAAATCTTGTTCTATCTGCATTGAGTTTTTTCTTTATTTTTTTCAGTTTTTGGAAGAAAAGCAAAAATTTACAATAAAAAAGAAGTGATACTCGGTATTCGATTATTCAACTCACAACGAAATGCTTAAGATGGAATCTGACATAGTTAAAAGAGATTTTAGAAACAGCAGCATATCTTACATCATTGTTAGAGGAAGGTTGTAGGTGCAATACAATGAAATTTTGCAAGATTCGTAAGAAAATTGACGGAAGAATTGGTTTTTTCGTCTTCGCAGTACGCATCGAACTGAACTTGTGTCAAGCTTAGGCAGGCGCTGTACTCCTCGAGGAGTATAGCATGGCGACGGGCGATCGCCGTCTTCTATGCGTATCGATCGCTAACAAGTTACCACACGTCTAATCAATACATATTTAATGTGTAGTCGCCAACACTGGCGACTGGCGATCGCTAATATCGGTGACTACACGTTTGATACGTATCGATTTGACGTGTGGTAGCTTGTTTGGCGATTGGCGATCGCCAGTCGCCAGGGCTCAGCACAGCTGGCACCGGGTCAAGCTGGATATCGTTTTTGGCGCGGAAAGCAAAGGGGATATCGTTTCTACAGGAGCCGAGGCGGAAACTGCCGCAAAAATGCCGCCGGCAAGCCACCGGCATGCCATTGGCAAGCTGTCCATCAACAAACAAAGGCGTTGTTTTCAGCCAAAACGCAATAGTATGATACCAAATTTGGTGTGTGCATGCGCGTTGGTGGACCAGAACTACGGGCCAAGAATTTATGAAAACTTATGTGAATGAAAGCTGTGCCCAACTTTTTTTCGAATTAGCTGGCACCGTGCCAGCTGGGTGCCAGCTGAGCTGGCACCGACACTTTGCTCACATAAGTTTTCATACTTTTTTACATAAAATGTATCTACACTGTAAAAGATTACATACGGAGAAGAAACAGTTTCATAATGTTCTCTTTTCAGCGTTTTATAAATTTGAAAACCACTCGGTCCGCTCCGCCGTCGAAAAATCGGCTTTTTCTGCTTCTCAAGATGTGATTCGACCAATTAAAAAGCTCAGAAAGCTGTGAAAAGTTCTTTCATGAAATCGGAAATGCATGAAAACACTACTACATTTTTTACATAATATAAAAATGATGACGGGTTTTCAAACAGTTCAAAGGGACTTCGTACGAAATTTTCATTATCAAACGGGACTTCGTTTTGAAATTTCCCTGGTGCCAGCTCGTATCGAGCCCTGCCAGTCGCTAATATCGGCGACGAATTGCAAAAAATTTCATACTTATGGTTATATCATTGCATGCGCATACTTTTCCTGGTAATTGTTCAAAAGCATTCCTTTTTTAATTGCTGCGCAACCTTTTCTTCATTATGGCACTTACTTGGAAACTCTCACGTAGAAGGATTAGCTTTTCTTGTATGACGTCAAGTAAACTCACTACTAAAATCGAACAAGAATGTAGCAGACACAATGATGAAGTTGGACTTCTGACAACTGCTGAAAAAAATCCGGTGCAACTCCATCACAAAGCTTGTAGTTTCTTGGAGGCACGGACCAAGTTGCGACGGTCATATACAGTGGGATCTCAGCACAAAATTTGCTTCCTTCCTGATGTATGCTTACAGACTTGATAGCTCTTTTCGTTCGATTCGCGGAATTTGTTCACCTCCGAGGGGGTGTGGGCCGATCCCTGCAGCAGTGCAACGCTGGGCCGACCCGTGATGAGGTGCGAGCAAGCCCGCAACCTCATCCGGTTCCAAAAATCAAATAACCTTAACGAGACTCATTCGAGACTCTATCGAAGGTTAATTCGATAAGAACAGAAACTAAACTTTGATCTTAGCCAAAAGGCCGAGAAGCGATACCTGAAACGGCTATCGCTAGTGCCACCTCAGCCAGGGAGTCGGACTCATCGCGGGTCGGCTAGCGCTCACTACCTCAACCCCGAGAGCGCAGGGACAGGTAGACGCACCTGTGCACAGGGCGAGTCGCGGCACATCAGTGCGTTCTAAGTGTAAGTCGCAGTTGGAAATAACCGATTTTTCCAAAGCATTTTGCTACGGCTCGATTACCATAGACCTGCGACTAGCGCTATCTCATGCCGGAGAGTACAGAAGCGCGTGAACACACCTGTGCACCACGAAAAGACTCATAGCACATCAATGCGGACAATATCGCAGTTGGATCAGAAGCATTCATTTGAGGCAATTTGATAGGGCACAGTTACGTAGAGCTGCATTTGAAGCAGCTTGTTGGTTCAGTACCACAGGAATGTTTCCAGAAATGATCTTCTGAAGTTTGACTGAAGAAGAAGAGGGAAGCATAGACAGGACTCGCATGAATTTCCGACGTAGAACATGCATGGAAAATTCTTGCCCATAGGAGCCCTTCGCACTACCATCTTGTGGTACAAACTCTGCTTTTATTAAGAAGCACTCGCGGTCTGTAGTTGGCAAAACCTCATCATCGCGGAAAAAATTAGCACATGCGTTTTCGCCATAGTTTCTGTGGCACACTATTTTCGGTATCCCTATATTGCTCTGAATCAGCAAACGTATTCGAGAAACAGGATTCACAGGGATGCGGTGCAGGAGGAACCAAAGGCCTGCCGCCTGTCGCCGCAGGAGATAATTAGGAGGGCGAGCGCTATGGAGAAGATTTTGGCAAGGATCCAGGAAAACTCGGCAAGGACATCCATTAAAAACAAACCCTTATAAATCTCCTTGGAATCAAGTTTCAAGGATACAAAGGACAGATTTGGAATCAGTATTGTAATGCGCATTTTTCAATAATACGCTTAGAAGTTAAACAACTCTGTCTCGCAACAATTTCTACCAAAAACTTGCCTTCAAAATTCATCATTCTAAGCTGAGGAACTTCAAGCTTGATGTTGTGTGGAAAAGAATCAACTGAATTTTCAGTGAAATTTCTGGATACGAAGTTGAAAGTATAAAGTAGTAATAAGAGAATAATGTTAACTAAGTTGCATGTGATGAACTTTTGCTACTGTGTACGACCTAAAGGATTACCGACATAGTTTCAATGGCAAATCCTATGAAGCCTCTAATGTCAAAATTTAGAATTAGAATGGGTTTAAAGTTATGAGACAAACTGCATATTGCATCTTGACACAAACCTCCAGATGTGTTTTTATGACAATTTGATTGCTTTAGTTCATTGATTCAAAAAGCAAACTATTTCCTTATCTCAAAGAAAAAAGAATGAATGTTGTATGAAAACCCCGAACTTCAACAACTTGAAACTTCAAAATTTAAAACAAAAAGTTTCTATATGGTAGTTGACTTTTGTTACCACAACAATTTCAAATTTTTACTTACTTTTAGGCCCAGTGAATGCGCCTTCCAATTTGCATTACAAATCTGTTTTTTAAATTTTTCAAAGTCATCTCCAAGCGAAGTTATGAAGATTTCTTCCCAAAGAATGTCCTTGCCGAGTTTTCTTGGATCCCTGCCAAAATATTCTCCACAGCTCTCGCGCTTTTAATTATCTCCTGCGGATACAGGCGGCAGCCCTTTGGTTCCTCCTGCACCACCCCCGATTCACAGTGGTACTTTAAATGGCCTTCAAGAAAGCAAGTCCTGCTTAGCAATGTCGTCCTTCCGGTTTGATTTTTCCTTCATGTTCGCAAGAAACGTAGTAGATTTTACAATAAAAAGTGGTGATAGGGGTATTCGATCATCTCACAACGAAATGCTCAAAGTGGGCATGACTTAGAAGAAATTTTAGGAACAGCAGCATCTCGTACCTCATTGTTCAGAAGAAGATCGTAGGTGCAATAAAATGGAAATTCTGCAAGATTCGCATGAAAATTTGCGAAAGATTTGGCTTTTTCGCCTTCGCAGCTACTACGCATTTGAACTTGTGTCAAGCTTAATCGCAAAAAATGTCATACTTGTGGTTGCATCATTGCAGCACTTTTCGCGGTAATCATCCGAAAACATTCCTTTCTCATTCGCAACCTCTTCACAATTTATTACGACATTCACTTGGAGAACCTCCCCTAGAAGGATTAGATTCTCTTGTATGAGGTCAAGTAAACTAACTACTTAAATTGAACAGCAAGAGTATAGGCAGACACAATGATGGAATTGGACTTCCGACCACTGTCGAAAAAACCCGGTACAACTCCATTACTTTTGCACGATTGGGGCCGAGTTGCAACGGTCATGTAGAGGAACAGTGGGACCTCAGCACAAAATTTGCTTCCATCCTAATGTATGCTTACAGCCTTGATAGCTTTTTTCGTTCGATTTGCGGAACTTGTTTGTTCACCCCCGTGGGGTGTGGGCCGATCCCTGCAGCAGTGCAACGCTGGGCCGACCCGTGATGAGGTGCGAGCAAGCCCGCAACCTCATCCGGTTCCAAAAATCAAATAACCTTAACGAGACTCGTTCGAGACTCTATCGAAGGTTAATTCGATAAGAACAGAAACTAAACTTTGATCTTAGCCAAAAGGCCGAGAAGCGATACCTGCAACGGCTACCGCTAGTGCCACCTCAGCCAGTGAGTCGGACTCATCGCGGGTCTGCTAGCGCTCACTACCTCAATCCCGAGAGCGCAGGGACAGGTAAACACACCTGTGCACAGAGCGAGTCGTGGCACATCAGTGCGTTCTAACCGTAAGTCTCAGTCGGACCAAACCGAGTCCTTCATAG